ATGGGGTTAGTATCTTGCCCAAGGATATTTGGCATGCAGCCAGGAGGCAGCCTGGGATCGAACCACCGACCTTCTGATTAGCGGCTGACCTGCTCTGCCACCTGAGCTACAGCCACCCCACTGTAGCTCAGGTGTCACTGAAGCCGCAGTGGCAATCCATCTGTCGATCTCTCGTTCCCTTCTCCCGTCACTCGTGAACAAGACCCCATGACACTTAAACTCCTCCACTTAGGGCAGGAACTCATCCCTGACCGAGAGTGAGCACCCTACTCTTTTGGCTCAAGACCGTGGCCTCAGATTTGGAGGTGCTGATTCTCATTCCCACCGCTTCACACTTGGCCACAAACCATTTCAGTGCGAGCTAGAGGCCTTCACTCGAAGAAGCCAACAGAATCACATCATCTACGAAAAGCAGAGATGAGATTCTGACACCACCCAAGCAAAAGCCTTCTGCCACTTGGCTATGCCTAGACATTCTGTCCATAAAAATTACAAGCAGAATTGGTGACAAAGGGGCAGCCCCGGCGAAGTCCATCACCAACCATCAACAAGTCTGACTTCTTGCCAGCTATACAGACCAGGCTCTTGCAATGGTTGTATAGGGATCAAATGGCCTGTAACAATGGGCCAGATACCCTATGCTCCCAAAGAACCTCTCACTGGACACTCCGAGGGACACGGTTGAATGCCTTCCCCAGCTCCACAAAACAAAGGTAGACTGGTTGGGCAAACTCCCATGCACCCTCAAGTATACTTGAGCTGGTAAAGAGCTGATCCAGTGGTCCACGACCAGGGCAGAAACCGCATTGTTCCTCCTGTATCTGAGGTTCAACTAATGGACGGACTCTCCTTTCCAGCACCTAGCATAGACTGTCCCAGGGAGGCTGAGGTGTGTGATCCCCCTACAGTTGGAACACATCCTCATCCCCCTTCTTAACGATGGGAACCAACACTCTGATGTACTAATCCAGAGATACCGCCCCTGATTTCCACGCAACATTGTAGAGGGGTGTTTAACCAAGACAGCCCTACAACATCCAGAGCCTTCAGGAACTCAAGGTGAACCTCAACCACCCAAGGGGTCCTGCCACCAAGGAGTTGTTTAAATGCCTCAGTGACATTACCCCTGGAGATAGAGAAGTCGTCCCCCTCATTCCCTGACTCTGCTTAATCCACGGAAGACGTGCTAATGGTCTTAAGCATGTTCTTGAAGTATTCCTTCCACTGCTCAACAATGTTCTCATTACCCACAGTGCAGGTAGAACACTGCTTTCCCCTCATCAGTTGCCTGACGGTTTGCCAAAATCTCTTCAAGGCAGTCCAAAAGTCTTTTTCTATAGCCTCTCCGAACTCCTCCCACACCTGAGTTTTTACTTCAGCCACTGCTAACCAAGCCTGACAATACTCCTTCTTCAGCCGGGTAGCTCCCCTCACTTCTGGTGTTCACCACTTGGTTCGGGGAATACCACCACGGCAAGCGTCAACCACCTTGTGGCTACAGCTCAGTACAGTGGCTTCGGCAATAGGGGTGCTGAACATGGTCCGTTCTGACTGGCTATCACCAGTCTTCCTCAGAATGCTGTCCAAGCTCTGTCGGAGGTGTGCTTTGAAGATCTCTGGGACCAGGGCCTCTGCTAGGCATTCCAAGCTCACCCTCACTATACGTTTAGGTTTACGTTTGCTCAGCATTCTCCCCTGCCACCTGATACCACTCACCACCAGGTGGTGATCAGTCTACAGTTCAGGCCCTCTCTTTAACCGAGTGTCCAGAACATATGGCCGCAGGTCTAGTGATATGAATCGATCATCGACCTATGATGTAGGGCGTCTTATTCCCACATGCATTTATGGACACTCTTATGTTTGAACATAGTGTTTGTTATGGACAAACTGTGATTTGCACTGAAGTCCAATAACAAAACACCACTCAGGTTCAGATCTGGGACGCTGTTCCTCCCAATCAAACCCCTCCAGGTCTCACTGTTGTTACCCACATGATTGTTGAAGTCTCCAAGCAGGACAACAGAGTCCCCAGGTGGAGCACATGTAAGTACCCTGCCAAGGGTATTCAAGGAAAGCTGGGTACTCTGAACCACTGTTCGGCGCACAAGCATAGACGCCAGTCAATACCCATTAAACAACCTGAAAGCGCATGGAACAAACCCTCTCATCTACTGGGAGAAATCTCAACGCATAGGGATCAAGCAGAGGGGATACTAGGATACTCACCCCACCCTGGTTCCAGATGTCAGTTGATGCATAATTACATTAAATATTTTTTTCAAGCCAACTAATCTAAATCAAACAGGGCAACTTACCTCATAGTAGCTCTGTACAGCATTGATGAAGGCCTCATCAGCTACAATCTGAGTTTCTCCATTAAGAAATGCCTGGAAACGCTCCTTTACTGTCTGTAGCTGCTGCTTACTGATCTGTGGAAGACATTAATAGACAAAAGAAATAATAGGATGTTGTTGTTAGTGAAAAAGCACACAATTTTACAACGTATCAATTGCAGATAAACTAAACCTTATGATTAAACTTGAATTGGTTGCTACAGTCAACAGCATACTGAAAAAAACTCCAGCTTCTATGACACTAAACATGCTACCAAAATACTGTCAAAATAGAGTAAAATGGAAGACTTTTTCCAAATCAAGAAACAATGTCTGCTAGAAATTAATTTTCTATACAACTAAAAATAGTTTTTCCAGTTCCAAGGAAGATATGATATAATTTCATTTTTGGATTATCAGTAAGAACAAGGGCAACAACCTTGTCATCCTTCTGGTACACAAAGGTAGGCGCACGCTTTACACTAAACCAGACAAACTATCATCAAAAAAGTTTGTCACTGCTTAGATACAAAAATACATAAGAGTCCCTGAAACAAGATCCAGGTCGTGGTTTGTCAGGTGATGTGAGGTTTAGAGAAACTAAAGTTCCCCACTGTCTTTGTCCTCACAGCTGAGAGGAGGTAAAAGATCTCAACATCCAGCCTTATGTGATTGAAAATAATTACAGTGCTGAAACAGAGCTTTCCCCTATTTGCTAATAATGAAGCATTTAATAATGCTGTTGCCAATCCAAGCAAACATGATTTTAAATGAAGGAAGGAGTATTAATGGTTGAAGACAGAACCATAATTCATATGTGATTTTGCTGATAGTTAATTATCCTTCATTCTAATCAGAATATAATCATGTATACTAAAAATTAATAGGTGTAAGTTTAACACGTATAATACATAAGAAAATATTATCTATGTCACGGGGTGCCGAGGCAGGCCATGTGTGAATATAAATGGACCCAAGATGCAGACTGCGTAGTAGTGAGAGAGCTACAGTGGGGCAAAAAAGTATTTAGTCAGCCACCGATTGTGCAAGTTCCCCCACTTAAAATGATGACAGAGGTCAGTAATTTGCACCAGAGGTACACTTC